CCTCTCAAATGTTTCTATTTGATATAAAAAAAATCCTCACAAAACATGAGCCCTATAGCTCAACTCTAAGAGGTCGCTATTTTTATTTTAGTTTCCCATTTAATTAACATGGGAAAAATTCTTTTTTGACATATCAACCGTGAAAGTTGGATTTTCAAGCAGCACACAGAGGGCGCAAAGAATACGATTTCTGATACTCTATAGTTTAGTTAATTTACCTCGTACTAGTATCGAAAAGTAACTTCTCTCTCTCTATCTGTCTCTACATTTCTGCACGGCTGCTAAAATACGCTATAGTCGAATCTTGTAAACGACTTCAACATATACGTAGATTTAATCCGTCGCTATTTAATCTCGTGTGACAGGCTTTGTGTTTAAATTATAAAGTTATTAATAAAAATGAGTGAACTATTAACAAAAACATCAACTCCACCTAATTTAACTACTATGGCAATTACTTTAAATAAAATAAACAATGATAAGACATTTTTCCACGGTTCTTTCAAATCCAACTTTCACAATTGATATGACAAAAAATTATGTTCGATACTTAATGCTCAAAAGTAGATATTCTGACAAACTTGAAGTGAAGGCACGCGTTTGAGACTATGATACATTCTCATCAAGACCTCGCTACGCTCGTCCGGATAAATAACTCGGTCTTGATAAGAATGCGCCATAGCCTCAAACTCGTGACGTCACTTCAAGCCGTCAAAATCCTTGCCTTTGCGCATACGTATCGATAATAACTATTTGGTTTTAAATTGAATTTACACATAATTTACGCAATTTTTTTACAAAAAACAATTTTATATTCTTAAAGTAGTCTTTGAGCTTTACAAAACTCTAAGACAAAGTATGATTATCTCTACAAAAAGACTAGTTAAAGCCATTTAAAAATTACTAATTATCGAAATTTAAAGAAATAGTTGGCAATTGGGTCATTCCATGTCAAATCGACAAATAGTTGGAATTGATCCCTGTCGATTTGAACAAATTTTGGTCAGAAGTTATCGTTTATCATAAAACGAAGTTCTGCCAAAGGGAAAACAATAAAAAAATTTTTTTCAAAAGATATGCAAATTCAAAATTTCGCAATTTTTTCAGTTTTTCAATTTTGTTTTTGTAATATCTCGAACGCTATTGTAGATACAGGAATGGCCTTTTGTTTGTTTGAAAGGGGACACTTAAGGTTATGGAAAAAAAATATTTTGGAAAAAAATTTTAAAAAATGCCAAATTTTGAATTTTTGAAAATCGTTAAAAATGACGATCGAAGTTAAAATTTTAGCTCAATTTTTTTTGTATAATACAGTATACTCATCTTAAAAGATTCTTAAATTTTTAGAAGGGTGTTTTTATTTTTTTCAAAAATATCAATTTTTAAATTTCAAAAAAAAAATTTTTTTTATTTTTCGCAACTTTTAAATAAGGTAAAGTTATGCAGATGCATAGTATTGTAATTTTGAGGATTAAAAAATTGAATGCATCACGTGGGAATATTGAATAATAAATTAATTTCAACTTTTTTTTTGTTTTCCATGCATTAAGGATGACTTTGAGATTATATCCAAAAAAGTTGAAATTAATTTATTCATAGGATTTTTATCAGGAGATTTAATTGGGCACTTCCGGACAAATTTTGAATTTTCACCGGAAACGCCCAAACTAAGCTTCTGTTAAAAAATTCTATGAAAATCAAATACATCGTCTCCCCCCAAAATATCTCAGGAAATGCCCAAACACAGCCCCTAATAAGAGCGGTACTCAAAATTCCAATTTTCAAAGGTCCTCCACGGGAGTTACATTTTGGCACACCCTAACATATATATAATTGGAATGTACTTGGTGTGCAGTTGCACAATATTTTTTTTTCTTTTAAAATTCGTGAAATCGATCTATTAGGACTTAAAAAAATTTGAATTACACAATATGACGCACACCAAGTATATTCCAAAATTGTTTTGTTTCATTTTTAAATTTACAACAAAATTTTTTTTTTAATTATCGAAAATCATATACAATCATATCAGTTACTTGGATATTTTAATTTTTTTTATTTTATATCTTTTTGTGAAGGAAAAAAATTTTGTTCTTATAATAGTCTTATGAACGTGGACTTGGCGCTATTTTTTACAGTGGAACTCTTTTTGATCGGATTGATCTTTACATCTGATCTGAAATTAAAAAAAATCTGGAAAACGGTTGACCCTAAAGGCCATCCCTGCAACTTCCCGCCAATTCCAGACCTAAACGCTTGAAATTGCACTTATGACATTTCTGATCTCTTCGAGCTCAAAAATACAATTTGTGTGTTATTTTGAGCTCTCTGAGCTCTTTGAGCTCAAAAGCCTGATAGAAGTTTAATACAACAGTATTTTTTGAATTTTCAAACTGCAATCATTTCTAAATGAATGAATCGATTTTCACGCGGTTATCAGTAATCCACGCACTTTTTCAGAATCTATGTTAAACTTTTGAACACAAACTGATCGAACCGAAAATCTTAGAGAAATTTGAAAAATTCACTTTTTCCGAATATTTTCGAAAACTCACGAACCAATCAACAAATTTTCACGTTTTTGGTGGCGATCGACGTGATTTTTTGGGCTCTAATAATTATTTTATTTCGTCAAAAACGATCCGAAAAGAAATGTCGAAGTTATGTGAAAAAAACACTTTTTTCGAAATTTTTTAAAAATTTTGTTTTTGAGATTTCTCAAAATCTAGCGAACCGAATCGATTCAAATTTCCACGAAATTTAATGGCAATGATACTCTTTGGAACGCCACCTATTTCGATCCGATCGGCCAAGCCGTTCAAAAGATAAGAGGTTTACACACACACACACACACACACACACACACACACACACACACACACACACACACACACACACACACACACACACACACATACATACATACAGCCGCACGGACATCATCGCGGGAATAGTCAGAGAAGCTTCCTAGGACCTCAAAACGTCGAGATCTGATGAAAACTCGATTTTCGAAAAACGGGGTAAAAACAATAACTTCCCGATTTTTGAAAATTTTCAATTTTCTTAGCGAGTAGCTAAAAATTTCTGAAAATGCATTCACTACAATACAGGCCACCTTTAACGTGTACAAGCAATATAATGCACATAAGTGTTAAAGCAATTTTTATCTCTCAAAATTTTATTTAAGCAAAAATTTTGACTCGCGTCTCCTTTAGAAATATATCACTTACTTTATAAAATTATGAAAAATAGAAAAAAAAAATTTAAACACGCGGGAACGTATCTGAAGTTTTAAATCTTTATACTTACCCGAGAAAAAATTTTCTATATAATCATATAAAATTGTATATAATCATATACAATTAATCATACATGATTATTGATTATATATGGAATTGTATATAAGATTATATATGACTATATATGGAGCAATATACAGCCATGCAGGATTATATATAGCTCCATATACAGTTATATATAAGTATATATAATCATACATGATTACATATGGAATTGTATATGAGGTCATAAATAATCATATATAATTATATATGACTATATATGGAGCAATATACAGCCATGCAGGATTATATATAGCTCCATATACAGTTATATATAAGTATATATAATCATACATGATTACATATGGAATTGTATATGAGGTCATAAATAATCATATATAATTATATATGACTATATATGGAGCAATATACAGCCATGCAAGATTATATATAGTCCCATATAAGTATATATAATTATATATGCTTATATATAATTATGAATTATGACTATCTAAATATATTATAGAATCAATTTTTATATTGTATTTATAATAAACTCATATGATACATTATGTAAATCATAGAATCATGATCATCTAAGACAGCAGCATAGCAGATAGAAACTTCAAGCCGCACGGAGATCACCAAAGTTAAGCAGCATTGAGCAGGGTTAATAGTTGGATGGGTGACCGCTAGTGATATAGCCGTCAAATTATATCTAGGTATTTTTTTTTGCATTTTAATTGGTTACAGAGAATTGCGTAGGACCATATTAATTACTCTATTCATAAAATTAACCCAATAATTAATTAGATGTAATAAATATATAATTAAATATTGTTATATATAATTATATATGATTATATTTGGCTATTTTTCATATATAATCATATATAACCAATTTATATATAAATATATATAATTATATATAAATGTTTTTTCTCGGGTAAAACTAGCAAAGTTACAAATTTATTCGGTTAGAAGGTTTAATATTTCAAAGTTTGAAAATAAATATTTTCTGTATTATTTAAACGATGAATACAAAATTTTTAATGTGATTTCTAAAAATCAACGCACCCTCACGTATTTTACCATGTGAAAAAAATTGCAAAATTAATGAGAAAGCATTTTCGAAGAACATTCAACTTCCTATACGTATATGTATTTTTATTGCTATTTGTCTTGTGTTCACCTGCATTAACATTTTTTACTTTCCCATACTAGACAGAAGATTCTTCTATACACAAATACCACAGTAAAATAAAGTTCAAATAAAACGTACTTGTTGATCAACCGACGGCAGGAAGTTATATTTTGAATGCTTTTCAATTTTTTGATAAGATTTCTTAACTTTTTGCATAGATTTAAGATTTCTTAAAAATTTCACCGTGTGTGTTTGTGTATGCGACTTTCATAACTTTTGAACTGATTGATCGATCACAATGGTTTGTACTAATCGAAAAGGTTCCATAAAATTTAGATTTTTTGAAAAAACTTTTATTTGATTTAACCCTGTAAACTCAAAAATTAACGAAAAGATGTTTTTTTTTAATGACTTTTTTACTACCAATTATTACCTATAAGCTCTAAAATTAAATTTACCATGTTTACATTGAAATAATAATGTAATTATAATGTAGATATTAATCAAATGTGTACTTTATTTATTAAAAAAAAACGTGATTTTCATTACGTTAATTTCATTAGTACCATTATTCTCTAATACCAATAAGTTTTTTTAGGTAATCGCTCTTCTTTAATATTCATTTTATCCATGATATCCATCTCGAAAGTTTTTAAGATTGGCTGGAAAAAAATAAATTTTAATAACTGAGAATATGTAAAGAAAAATCACTGAAATATATGTATATATACGTTAACAAAATACCTTGAAAGTAATTTTTTCGACATTGTCTTTGGTTGTATCTTTTGATTGCTCTCGGTAAAGATTTGGATGTTTATAATCCATAGTTTCTAAATTACTTAATGGTATTGGAATAATTCGTCCAGTTCGTGTAGATACACGAACTTTTTCTCCTTCTTCAGTGTATCTCCATTGGACTTTTGTAGCTTGCCTGTGAAACAAGTCAATTATATATTTATTATTTATAAAAAATAAAGATTACTCTTTTAAAAAAAATATTTAATATTTTTTCATACTAACATATCACTTGGATCTACTAAAGCCACATCTGTAGTTACCAACAATGGTTGCTCTTCTAAGACATAGATTCCCGGAAATTTTTTAGTTTTACCCATTGATACAAGTTTTGTATTTAAGCCTTCCACCATGACCCAATTTCTTTCTTGAATAATCATTTGAACTAAGCCCTGTTTACCCTTATCACGTCCTTTCAATACTTCAACCTGATAAAAAATTTCAACTATTAACTTAGATATAAATAATATAATTTCATTTGTCATCAACTACATAAATGAAGATGACAATTACGATTTACATCAGAAGATAAAAAATCGTATATTGATGGAAAATTTCTATAATGTTATTTCGTTTTCTAAATGTAATATCCAATTCATTTTTCGTTTACAGGAATATCAGGAAAATTATTATGAGTAAGCCGTAGTAAGTTCATTTTTTAAAATTTTATTGTTCTAATTTCTTTTTAAAAAAAATTGTTTAATGAACTATCATAAAGCTTCCGCAATATCAGGCCATATGTTATTTTCCGAAACTTCATTTTATTTAATTTCAAAATTTATTCAAGATGTAATTAGAAAAAAAAATTTTTAAAAATACATTTACTAGAACGCACCCTTAAATATCAATGTAAATAAAAGTAGCAGATATGCATAAGGTAAAAGACCCAGTTATTGACTCTGGCCTAGTTGTTTAACGCTTGCAATTTTATTTTAATTAAAAAAATAAAATGTTCTCAAAAAACCAATTATCTTAAAATTTATAATTCAAAAATTATACAGTCGAGTCTTGTTATGAGTTCTATTGTTTTCTTTTTTTTTTTTAACCAGACGCGCGTAAGTATGAGAGAGACACTAATAGGACTCATAACGAGACTCAACTGTATTTATTAATTTATTGGAGTTGATTTGTTTTTTTTAATTAAAATAAAATTGCAAGTGTCAATAACTGGGTCTTTTACCTTACATTAGTTGTCACATAAAAAAATTAAGTGTTAGCAGAAGACAATTTAAAAATTACATATCTTAAAGGAAAAGTACATTTTTTTTTAAATAATTTATTTGAAGTAACCCAATAACGGCTAAACGTATGATATTTTAAGTATATTATCAAGTTTTTTACCCGATCTCCTCGAAAAAAACTCCATTCTTTTATTGGTTCTATGTAATGAACTGGAACAGTTTTACCAGGAGCATTATCAAAATAAAATTCTCTTGTCCAAGGGCGGTGTGTTGTAAATTGCCATTTTGTTCTTTGAAGAGTTCTAGGAAGATAACGTGGGTCATTGGGTGTTTTGAAATAAATCTAAGAACAAATATTATAATTTAAAACTAATCTTTACTTATTAATAATTGATTATCATACTTGTTCCATAGCTCGTTTTATGTAACGATCCGGTAAATTCGCATATTTTTTTGACCATTCAGCAACATGTTGAAGACATGAATAAGGTTTTTTTATCCGCATTATATTTATATAATTATAATTTTTCAAAAGTAATTAATTTGTTGGAACTGCAACTCGATTTTTTTAGTATTACGATTTCACACTATAAACATTTTTTTTCTTTCGTTTGCTAGGTTATTTTCCTAAAAGGCCTTTAGCTTGTCTATTAAATTGTACCACGTGATAAAAGTATACTCTATAGAAAGCTATGTTATGTCCGATGATATGATAGGTGTCGTCGTTGATGCATTACGCGGCAAATTCACAACAAATATAGGGATTGAGAAAGAACTGTAGAGGCAGCACTACTGCTGAAAGTGGAGCGCCCTGGTGTTGAAAATGTAAAGCATAGTGATGTAAACAGTGTAATAAATAGTATTAGTTGAAATAAATAATGAAAAAAATAATTAAATTCGGGTTCTTGTCCGTCAAAAATACCCATATTAGGGGTCAAAATGACATAAAAGGAAAAAAGTTATTCGAGACAGGACACGTTTCGAATGGTGTAGAAACAGAAGATTCAAATAAACATTAAACCATAACCTGCTCAGTTGTCACTCAAACCAAAGTTTCCGATATTTACAGTATAAAAATTGATGTTAGTTGATGAAGTTTTTTTTTAATTATTTTTAATATTCGTTAATTGACGAAATTTATAATTAAATATAAACTTTGTAAAAATATATTACACTAAAATTAGCCGATGTTCAGCAATTCTTGCATTTGTTTCAACAATTAAATTGCAAGTAAAAAAATACTTTTAAAAATTTGCACGTATAATTTTTTAAATCTTCGACATGTGAAATTTTTTATTTTGATTTTTTTGTAATGATTTTTTTAATAAAGAAAATTATAAAAATTTTCAGATGTAGGCTAATTTAATTTTGATTAAAAAAAATGAGACTGAGATCAGCTGACATTTGATAATTTTTTAAATTTTTATGGCAAATCAATTATCATAAAAAAAAAATCTTTTGAAAATTTGTACAAATAAGTTTTTTAAATTTCTACATGTGGAATTCTTTTACTATAAATTTTTTAATAATAATTGAATTGTTATAAAAATTTGAAAAGTTGTAAGATGTCTTTTGATTCAGTATCGTAACAAGTTTCGAAGTCTAGAATTGAATTTTTTTTAATTTTCAGTGGAATAGAAAAACTTGATAATAGTTTTGAAGAAGACATTATGAAAAATTATGTTAATTAAATTAAAAAAATAATTAATTTAACAAATATGTTATTGTTTTGTATACTAGTTGCCACCACTTTATTTTACATTTTTCTCGGCAGGTGGCGTCAAGGTCATCTTTCTCAATCCCTATAATAAAATCAAAAATAACAGGTACTGTGAGTACTACTTCCTTAAATATCCTTTTCTATGATTGAGTTTTTTACTATACTCAATTTACACAAAAACAAAAAAAAACTAAACAGAAAAAAGTGATGTAAAAATCGCAGCATAACTTGATAGCTTCTATACTCTAGCTTTGATTGCAATAAGCAGTAACACGCGTGGATAGGAATTTTTACTGGTAGGGGAGAGTGGGGCACGACGGTCTCCTAGAGCACAACGGCCCCTCTCAAAAATTAGGTAAAAATTTTATTTTCCGTCAAGTTATAACCTCTGCGATGTTTTTATGATATTTTGGACCAATACGTAGGGCATAATGGACCACTCAAAAAAAAAAAAATTGTAACGAAAATAAATTTTTTTTTTTAATTGTAATAAATTTGAAGAATTCATTCTTTTAGGCCTTTTCAGATCAATGATATTTATCTTGAGTAAAATGAATTAGAAAAAAATTTTATTAAACTGAAATTTAACAAAAAATTGAAAACACGGTTTTTTTCAAATGAAAACAGTAATTAAATCATTAATTATTGATCACGGTATTATTGAAAACGTTAACAAAAATTAAACTTTGTATAAAACATGAAATATAAATTTTCGATAATTAGGAAATTACATCGAGATAATTTAATGAATATACGATTATTCGCAATGATCACAGACATATTCGTCGGAATAATCTTCGTCAATACCTGGCAAGAATCATGAGACCATTTTTTATTGCAATTTTTACACTAAATCCATGACTCTGTGGATTCTGAGTAAAGTTGATTGCAATATAGATAATGGAAATCATCATTTTTAAATTTTGAAAATTTTTTAGTTTTGATTTTATTTTATTTTATTTTTTTTTTTTTTTTT